ATGGCTTTAAGCAAAGAGTCAGCACTTAGTCTCTCATATCTATAACAAGTTGAAGGTAAGTCTCTCTGTCTCAGTGCCGTATATGTAAATAATTTGATGTGTTGAAAGCTGATATTGAAATTAAGAGCTTCTGTTGAGCGTAGTGAAAAAAAAAGAGGAAAGCATAGGTAAAATAATATCCAGTTTGAACTTATATGCAATTTATCACTGAAATCTACACTGACTTCCGAAAGCTTTCTTCACACACGCGCGTTTTCATGTACAGATAAAATACATGATAATCCTCGTATGATTCGATAATACAATGCAATCTCGTGATGATATAATAGTCTCTCATGTACGATTATGATATTGCCTTACCACAACTTCATGATAATCTACAAGTGCTAATCTTAATAATGCTGTATAACATAAGCATAGCTATGATAAAGATCTCCACAGCATAACTTGCACCGCTATTTCAACCGAAATTACGTATATGCTTGTCTGACTGTGCAATCACCAACATTTTTTTTTCTCTTTCCTCTTCCTTGCCATCTCTCGTCTATTTGATTCTCCACCTTTCTCTTCATTTCTTTTGACTCGGGTTTTCATACTTGGAGAATAGTATTACACCGTTGTGACGTTATTTCGGTTATCTTTGTACATTTCTATTTTGCTGGTATTTTGCTCTGAGTTAAAAACAATTTTGTAAATATCTATGCCCCTTCATTTAAAAAATAATGATTATGAGACATTAAAGCAATATCGGTCAGATAATGTAAAAACGTCCCAAGTGATGATTAACGAAAAGATTCTGTCATCTGTAAGGACTTAACACGGCTGTCGGACCCTTTGTCCAATGTCTTATAGCCGACGGACTATTGGCCAAACAGCTATATCGCCGATAAACGCCAAGAGGTCACATCGTTACGCTGAATCTAAATACACCAAATGGAGCATAGGTTTACAGTAGCCACTTTCATTTCATAGCTACTGTTGGGTCAAAAATATGATTTACGAAAACAGCCAAAATCTAAAGAAGCAAACTTGTAATCCAAACATCTAACTTTAATACAATAAATAAACATGAGGTCATAGCAAGATTGACACATATAAAATGTTAGCAATAGTCCTAAACAAGTCGAGGCCTTTTAAAGCCGTCGTACTCGCTCCTTTCAAACATTTTGTTGTCCTGGGAAGGCCTTCGCAGTCCAATTCATTGCACTTGCCGGTGTTGATTTCGAGGATCGACGTCTCCCCCACTGACCAACACTTATCCATGTTTCCGAGAGTAAGTCGTCAGTTTCATCATCCAATGCTTTCATCAAATACCTTAGAATTCATCAAATGCCTTAGAACCTCACTGACAGGCATTGAAACACGAGCGTGAATTGGTTCAATCAATATTTTTGATGCACTGCACCAAATTTGCAAGCAGTCCCAGAAGGGCACAATACTCGTCCTCAAACCATAGTACGTTTGGCACTACCTCCTGTCATCGGTCAACCCAGTTCATAGCTTTTGGGTTATTTTGACTCAGTCATACTATAACTTTCTAGTTGCACTTTTTATGGAATAAAATTTTCTCTAGTATAATTCATTATTAAAAAAAAGGCTATAGTTAACTTTGTTTGTCCAGGCAAAAGCTTATTTAGCTGTGCTTCTTCACGAAACTTAATACTTTAGTAGGCGAGACGTATTGTAGCACTGTCATGCAGATTTAACTTTAACTGTATTAATGTTAGTGTACTGGTATATGTGAGCTAACAGTCAGTGAAGACAGGCTTAAATGTATATTCTTCCAGATGAACTGCCTTCTTCTCCTTCTGGTTGCCGTCGGCCTCTCCTGTGTCATGGTAGCGCACGCCTCGCCCACCATAGGTTTGCTGGCCGGCTTCGGCTCCCTCAGACCATCCCAATACCAATCCAAGCGGCGCTTTCACGGGCCTGGCTATGGGCGATACCACGGCCATGGCTACAGGGCCCCTCGCAGAAAGCATCGGCCGCGCCGTTTGACGAGGAGAGGCTGATCCTATCCACTGTGGCACACCTGGATCCCGAAGGCTGCATTCCCAAGACGCTCTTTCTCCTGGAGGCGAAGGACGAGACCCAGCTGCTACAGATCTTCGCCAACAAAACTCGGGGCCTCACCTCCTACAGTGCCACCCTCGTCCTCGCCACACAAATCGGCGCCAACACGAGGGACTCGGCCGCCTGCAAGAAGCTTTTCGCCAAATGTTCGCTCGACGAGGAAGAGCTAACCGACGTCCTGCATCTGGCGTGGGGCTGCGACTGCGACCAGAGGCAGGACTCACGTTTCCTCTACGGTGCACGGCGAAGCACGCACTTAGCTTATTTTAAGCCGGATATACCATAATGTTGTCTGAATATTGCCTACTTTTAAATAGCAAATTGTACGATTTTTTTACATTCGTTCGTGGAATAAATTTGCTATAGAAGACCTTGCTATCAATTTCAACACATTGCTACATACGAACATTCGTTCACCTCCGCTTTTCCTTCAGCTCGTTGAGTTGTTTAGCTTTTATTGTCTTTAAGTATGAGCATTTTTGAGATGTATATATATATGTGTATATATATATATATATATATATATATATATATATATATATATATATATATTTAATACATATATATATGTGCACACATACAAAAAACCCACACTTATCTATATCTATATATACATGTGTTATATATGTATATACACACATATATATAAATATATGTATGTGTGTGTTATCCCTCGTGTACGCATGCATTCACAAATTGTGGGATCCTCTTTTGGCTGTTAGACGAATCTTGTAAGACCTGGAGGGTAATCACAAAAACTGATTCCCTTATGGATTCCTGATATATATATATATATATATATATATATATATATATATATATATATATATATATATATATATATATATGTATATATATATAAATACTTATGTATATGCTAATACATATATATATACTTATGAATGTATAAATACATATATACTTATGTATATATAGATACATATATATACATAAATATAGATAGATAGATTAATATGTCCAAGCACACACACACACATATATACACACACACACACATATGTATAGTATGTGTGTATGTGCATATATATACACATATATACATTTAGATACATATACATACATACATACACACACATACGCACACACATGTGTATATATATACAGATATGATAGATAGTGATAGATAGATAGATGGTTAGATAAATAGATAAATAAGTCCAAATACACACACGCATATATATGTATACATATATATATTTGTATACACACACCACACACACACACACACACATACACATACACACGCGCAAACACACATACACACATGCACACACATATATACACACGCGCACACACACACAAAAACACAGACACCCAAACACACACACATACACATATATATGTGTGTGCGTGTGTGTATGTACATCTATAAACACACACAAATACACACACATATACACACACTCACACACACACACGCATATGTATATATACATATGTATACATACGCATACACACACACATACATATATATATATACATATATATGTATATATATATATATATATATATATATATATATATATATATATATATATATACATATGGGCGTGTGTATGTGTGTACACACATATATGTATACGTGTGCGTGTATATATATGTAAATATATATATATATATATATATATATATATATATATATATACATATATATATATGTCTATGTATGTCTATGTCTATATATGTCTATAACATATATATAAACATATAGGCATATATATACGTTTACACACACACACACGCACGCAGACACGCACATATATATATATATACATAGACACACACGCACATGCACACACACACACACACTCACTCACACACACACACACACACACACACACACACACACACACACACACACACACACACACACACACACACACACACACACGCACGCACACATATATATATATATATATGAAATATCCCCTCCAGAGGTAGGCCTACTTCCTATATGGCGACCGAATTCTAATTTCCCTTTCGAGTCCCGGCAGACTCGTGGTGGCGCTGCTGGGCGGACTCGCAGCTCTTAAGGGCGCCGCTCTGGTCGGAATCGCCGCCAGCCTCGGCCAAGGGCGACTCCTCGAGCGCTCGTACGCAGACGCTAACGCTTACGGCAGCGCCATGTACGGTGCCGTACATACTGTATCAGTTTTTATCTTCAAAAATATCCATGACAGACTGCATAAACTTTTCCTACATGGAGTGTCAATGCTAAATTACTCTTTTGTCTTCAGATGGGGTTTAGTTCAAAGAAAGCGCTGCCTTTCTCTTTGTCTTTCCGAGATCCATTACGTAAGGCCCCCTCCCCCTCTTTCTATTCCTATCACGTTGTAATTGGCTATTCCCCTCCCCCCCCTCCCCTTTACAGAGTAATGTGGCTGCAGTTCGGTTTATGCAAAGATTTGTGGGTTATGCATGCACACTTATGTGTCTGGTGCGTGTACCATGCGTGCTCAGATTACATGTAGCCCACCATCTTTTGTTTTGACTACACATATGCAAGGAAGAGAGAGAGAGAGAGAGAGAGAGAGAGAGAGAGAGAGAGAGAGAGAGAGAGAGAGAGAGAGAGAGAGAGAGAGAGAGAGGAGGGACAGACTGACTGACTGACAGAGAGGTTGGCTGACTGACTGACAGGCAGACTGACTGACTGACAGGCAGACTGACTGACTGACTGACAGGCAGACTGACTGACTGACTGACAGGCAGACTGACTGACTGACTGACAGGCAGACTGACTGACTGACTGACTGACAGACAGGTAGACTGACAAGCAGAGGGGGGAGATAGAGAGACAGACAGACTGACTGTCAGAAAGAGAGAGAGAGAGACCTAGCTAGACAGACGACAGATAGACAGAAAGAGAGAAAAGGAGAGAGTCAGAGAGATCTTGACAGCGTCAGCTTTCTCTGCAATAGTTATCAATCCTGAAAGAATGCTCGCCTCGCAACAGCCGTGCTTCGATTCAGAAAGCGTTCCTTCTCGGAATGCATTCCGTAAACCTCCCCTCTCTACCCCCTCCAATTCACCAAAGGATATAGCCATTTCCATCTTTTTTCCTTTTTACGTCATAGAATTTCTGCGTCAACCAGTGTTAACCGGTTGACGCAGAAATGTGTGTGTGTGTGTGTGTGTGCATGTATGTGTGTGTGTGTGTATGTGCATGTGTGCGTGTGTGTGTGTGCGTCTGTGTGTGTCAAAGATCCAATATTTTTAATGTCATTCATTAAAATTTCTCGTATTCAGATTTCTTTTCTTTCTCCCTTCTCTCTCTCATTCTCTTTCACCTCCTTTCCTCCTCTCTCTTCTAAAGAATTTATCGCTGACCAACAAAGACGGGCAAACTACTGCTTGCTGCTTGAAATGTACTTCCTGTACTGCGAGTACCATGAACTGCACGCCCATTGGCCAACGGTCGAAAATGCTCGACCATTAGTATCACACCGCGATGATGCAACAGCAGCAGCAACAACAGCAGCAGCAACATGCGTATATATATAATGGCGTTAGGCAGAGTCAGCACTTAGTCTCTCGTATCTATAACAAGTTGAAGGTAAGTCTCTCTGTCTCAGTGCCGTTGTTTATGAAAATAATTTGATGTGTTGAAAGCAGATATTGGAGTTGAGAGCTTCTGTTTAGTGTAGTGAAAAAAAAACATTAGTAAAAAAAATAGAAAAGAGGAAACCATAGGTAAAATGGTATCCATTTTGAACTGCAGATATAATATATGCAATTTATCACTGAAATACACATTGACTTCACACACGCGTAATTTCATGTATAAATAAAATACATGATAATCCTCATATGATTCGATAATGCAATGCAATCTTGTGATGATATAATAGTCTGTCATGTATGATTATATTGCCTTACCACAACTTCATGATAATCTACAAGTGCTAATCATAATAGCTATGATAAAGATCTCCGCAGCATAACTTGCACAGCTATTTCAACCGGAATTGCGTATATGCTTGGCTGTCTGTGCAATCACCTATATTTTTTTTTCTCTTTCCCCATCCTTGTTATCTCTCGTCAATTTGATTCTCCCCCTTTCTCTTCGTTTCTTTTGACTCGGGCTTTTATACTTGGAGAATAGCATTACACCGTTGTGACGTAATTTCGGTTTTCTTTGTACATATCTATTTTGCCGGTATTTTGCTCTGGGTAAAAAAACATTTTTGTAAATATTTATGCACCTCCTTTTTTTAAATAATGATAATGAGACTTAATGAGCATAATGATAATGAGCAATATCAGTCAGATAATGTAAAAGCGTCCCAAGCGACGATTAAGGAAAATATTCTGTCACCTGTAAAGACCTAACACGGCTGTCGGATCCTTCGTCCAATAAACGTTTACCTGAGAGATCACATCGTTACGCTCAATCTAAATACACCAAGCGGAGTATGGGTTTACAGTGGTCATTTTCATTTCATAGCTACTGTTGAGTTAATAAAAAAAAATATTTACGAAACAGCCAAAATCTTATGAGACAAACGTCTGATCCAAACATCTTTCATAAAATAAGTAAACATGAAGTCAGTTTCCGCAGTTTATTGCACTTGCCGATGTTGATTTCGAGGATCGACGTCTCCCCCACTGATCCATGTTCAATAAAAGTATCCAGAAGATTCCGAGAGCAAGTTGTCAGTTTCATCATCCAATGCCTTCATCAAACTCAGTTCATAGCTTTTGGGTTATTTTGACGTTCTAGTTGCACTTTCTATGGAATAAAAATATTTTTTTTCTGGTAAAATTCATTATTCAAAAAAAAAAAAAAAGAGTTGTTTGTCCAAGCAAAAGCTTCTTTAGCTGTGCTTCTTCAAGAAACTTAATACTTTAGTAGGCGAGACGTATTGTAGCACTGTCATGCAGATTTAACTTTAACTGTATTAATGTTAGTGTACTGGTATATGTGAGCTAACAGCCAGTGAAGACAGGCTTAAATGTATATTCTTCCAGATGAACTGCCTTCTTCTCCTTCTGGTTGCCGTCGGCCTCTCCTGTGTCATGGTAGCGCACGCCTCGCCCACCATAGGTCTGTTGGCCGGCTACGGCTCCCTCAGACCATTCCAATACCAACCCAAGCGGCACTTTCACGGGCCTGGCTATGGGCGATACCACGGCCATGGCTACAGGGCCCCTCCCAGAAGGTACCGGCCCCACTTCGGCGTTCTCTGACGACGAAGAGAGCCTGATGCTATCCACCATGGCACCTGTGCCTCCTGGAGACGAAGGACGAGTCGGATACCTCGCAGGACGAGACCTAGCTGCTGCAGATCTTCGCCAACAAAACTCGGCGCCCCACCCCCTACAGCGCCACCCTCAGCGACTGAGACCCGAACCAGAGACAGTACTCACGTTTGCTCTAGGGTACACTTCGAGACACGCACTTTAGCT